ATGTATGTATGTATGTATGTAGGTAGGTAGGTAGGTAGGTAGATAGGTAGGTAGGTAGGTATGTATGTATGTATGTATGTACGTATGTATGTATGTATGTATGTATGTATGTGTATATATATATATCTATATAGACATATACATATATATATATATACATATATATACACATGCACATATACAGCCAGTGCGTACACATACATACATACATACATACATACATACATACATACATACATACAAGCATACATACATACATGCATACATGCATACATGCTTACCTGCCAGTGTCACTTAGCGGTCTCTGCTCTTCTCTGTTGAAGTATATTACCGTGTCTATACCGATCCATCTCTTCGTATCTCCATGTGCGATCTCTGTCTATCTCTCTCGATCTTCGCAATCTTCACCTACCCGAGCGGATTTGTCTGCTAGCCTGAGTCCACGGCTGTTATGCTGTCCCTGCACCTCTTGATCTTTGTACCCGGCTATTACATCTTTCTACAGGTGTGTTTATTTGCGGCTCGGTCTGCCGAACTTCCTGTCTCTGCTTGTCGTTATGCCGCATTCCTGTCCAGCATCTCATCTCCCTCTCTCTCTATCGCTGCCCCTTTGTCTCTGTATCTCTTCCGTCCGTCTGCTTCTCTTTCTGCATATCCGTGTATCTGCTGTGTTAGATTTTGATGTGCGCACTTCTGTTTGTGGTCTGTCTTCCTGCCTGCCCGCTTGTCTTTGCGTCTTGTCGCTGATCTTTTATCACTGGCATACCCTGCATGGGCGGAGCTCCCTTGCGTTCCTTCGGCTTCCCGGAAAAAATGGACTCCCATCGATCTTGACATAACCTAGACCTAGACAGCTGAACTCGAAGCCCGGAGCCACAGCCCAAGTTAAGTGCTCTTCCTTCACGGCCCAGTCCCTGAACCTGGAAGCCGCCTGCATCCCCAAGCGGTTGCTTTCCGATCCTCAGAAGGCCAGGCCGCAGTGTAAAAGTGGGCTAAGATAAGTCTTTTGTTGTCGTCATGAGCCGTCGTCATTGCTACTTTTGCCATTGCTGTTTCATAACCTAATCCATTTTTCTAGTACTGAGTACTGTTAGTATCATTACATCACCTGCTAGTACTAGTACTGTTGAGTTTCAGTGTCTATGAATGTTGGCATGATCGTCATTACATTAGTGTTGCCTCCATGCTCGCTTGAGACAATTGAGAATTGTTGGGGAGTGAATCTGCTGCAGGGGCTAACGAGGCTCGATTTGCAGGGCTTTGGGAGAGCCGGAATGCTTTGAGGGGCTTCGTCCGCTTGGGGAATTACGGCTTGTAGGAGGTTCTTCATGGACTGTTGTGAAATTGGTTGAATCGCATAGTTCAGGTTTCCGAAAGGTGAGACTGAGTCTAGGTCAGGACATCGCAAGGATGACATGAACCCTCGCCAAAGGCTTGATAGCGATCATCTTTCTTACATTTTCGCTTGATGTCCTCTTTGCAGGCCCTGGATCCTTCTCCCATAAGAATGCAGCTTCTAGCAACAAGAAAGCGAGTCAGGATTGTTCGTTTTTCGCCTGCTCGCCCAGTTCGCCCGCGTCTCTGAGCTCTTCCAGCCGTTCTGGGCAGACCCCAGCTACCAGGCCTTTGCTTCTGCCTTCTTCGGCTCTTCTCGATTCATTGCACATCTCTTTGAGAATCGAACTTCCGAGGATATGGTCATGCTGCGCCGGCTGAGGCGGCAACAGAACCGAGAGAGCAGCAACGAGCACACAGAGCACATGGAGCGCCAGCGCATGGGGCGCGAGGAGCGCGAGGGGCAGCAGAGGGCAGAGGCAGAGTCCATACCACAAGATTGAGGACTTTCTTGGGAGCCTTGGACAGTGATGGCGGTTCTATTCTGACATATTCTGACAGCCTGACAGAGTGAAAGAGCTCAGGATGATGGCCTCTGGAGCCAGATGATGGAGAGTCTGGAGCATCCTTTGGCGGGGCTCGAAACAGGCCCCCCATCACCGTCGTGGTGTTTTTTCCCAGGCTGAGCCCATGTACAAAGCAATTCTGCCTAGTCAAACCGTGCCCAGCGTGTCAAGGTTTTCAGTTCCAGAGCCTAGGAATGCAAGAGAGGTGTAGTCCACAGATGCTTGCAGTTGTCGTAGCGCGCAGACAGTCACACCGAGAGACTTTTCTGCGGATGAAGGGCTATCGTGGTAGCCTCGTGGTAGCCACCAGATGTGTCGAGGGCACCCTCCATTTAACAAAAATTCGTTTCCTATCAATTTTGCAGCGTGCGTCCATAGATGCGAGATCGCACTCCAATTCTTTACAAAGCATGACGTGACCGGATTTGGGATGTCCCTCCAAAGTCACCGACATCCTGTGACATTTCCATACATTTCCTATGTGAGCATTTAGCGTTGGGGAAGTTCCCAAAGTCGCAAAAGCAGCCGAGACCGTCTTTCTGAGATCCGATGAAGTGTTGGATCTCTTTTGGCTCTGGCATAAGCTGTCTAACAGCTGAATTCCAGTCATCTCACTGCACCAGACCCACCGGCGGGCCTCCCATCCTGGGGAAATGCAGGCACCGCTTCTCTCAACCACTCCAACGCTATATCCACCGGTCAAGCAGCAGTCGCTACGTCTCCAGTCATGCTGGCATGCACCATCCCTCGCAGGTAGACTGCTCGGCACTATGCCGTGGTACTCTGAAGGCGGAACCAACAACTTCCGATTTCCAACGCGACCCAGGCGCATCCAGCCGCCCGCCATTGCTGCGGCAGCGCCCGCGTGAGGCGGCAGGGATTTTGCAGTAGATGCACGCCTTATGTAGACTGACTAGATGCTCGCATGCGCTTGATGCGGTTGGTGCCATGCTTGAACGAAGTCTCACATAGTGAGGTAGTGTGCCTGTGGCGTTATGATGATTCGGTTAGGCTGGAGTTTGTGTCCCAAATCACGGACGATTTGTAGGCCATCCCGAAGCAAGCTGCCGAAACCGTCCCAAAGGCTCTGAGAAGCCTGACGCGAACATTACCGACCCGCCCCAAAAGCTCGAAGCTGGGGACAAGGCTCCGCGACCTCCGCTCAAGCGCATGCTGGGCCCTCACTCTGGGCAACGAGAGGTTTAGGGTTTAGGGTTTAGGGTTTGGGGTTTAGGGTTTAGGGTTTAGGGGGGCGATTTGTTGGCAGGGATGCTGCCTCCTGGTCCTATTACCATTGGAGAAGAAGGATTAATCTGATTGGTGCGACGATGCCCCAAAGCTGCCTTGGAGCGAACGCGTGCAAGAGCTACACTCGAAATCAAGCCAAACCAGGACTGTCAGGAAGTTCTGCTTCCCGAGGCCTTTGCCCAAAGCCAAACTTTGGCAGAGGCTCGCGTCAGTGCACGTTCGTGGTTTGAGATGGTTTGAGAATTCTGGGGCATGGATTGCTGCAGACGTGCTGGAAGGGGTCTGTCAGTGCGGTAGAGCTTTTGAGAGTCGAGTCTCAGCGAAAACGTGCCGAGATCGAAGCCCCCGGCGGCGCGGAGCCTGGACCAGAGTGGAGCGAAGCTTGCGGACGCGGTGTAGAGGGCTTCCTTTGGTGCTTCAGAAATCGCCCGCGGATCGTGTGAAGCCTGAACCTGAGGTGCCGTCGCTGCCCAAAGCCGGCATCGGGGCGGCGAAGGCCCGTTTTGCAGCGTTCGGTCTCTCCGTTCAGAGTTGCAGTGTTCCGAGTTAACCTGTCCATAGACGCCGTAGACTTCTGGGTCGAAGTGGGGCTTCTTCAGCTGCAGCCGGCCAGGTACGGTTGCTGGCAAAGGCAGGGACCAGTCAGATGCACGCAGACGCCGGCAGCAGCATCCGGCTCGTGCGAGCCTCCGCGCGGGCTTCGTCAGGCGACGGCACGCCCACCAGGTCCGGACCTCGTGGTTCCCAAAGCGGTGCCGAAGGCCAAGGCTGCATCCAGCTCGGCGAAGGCCTGTTGGGCCTTTGGAGGGGCGGCGTCGGAACCGTGTAGTGACTGTAGTGTTTGTGTCGGAGCCTTCTTTCGCCTCCAGGCCGCGGTACCCCTGGGAGCTCCGCTAGGTGCCTCCACAGTCCGCAAGCGTCAGCTCCGTGGTGAGCGGTGTGATTCCTGCTGCTCGTAGCCGTTTTGGCTTGCCAAGCTTGGGCCACAGATTGAGTATCCGGTTCATGAGGTCTCGGGCAAGGTCATTCAAGCCACGGGCACCGAAGCCGTGAAGCAATGCATGAGTCACACAGCAGCACATCGGAACACACACACACACACACACACACACACACAGACAGAGTGCACAACTTGTAAATAGCATGGAGCTGAAAAGCGTGAAGCCATGTGGCCAGTGCACGTCTGGCTCCAAGATTCGCTGGGCTTGCTTTGCTTTGCAGAGGCTTGCAGCTTTGAAAAGGGTCTTCGCAGCCTCTGCCCCTGTCTGCTCAGAGGCCTTTGCGACCTCTGGGTCGTGGAGGACAGCGGCCCCTGGCGCCCCTGGCGCGCCTGCGCTGGGCCAACCGGGCCGACGGGCCGAGAGGCGCAGCGAAAGAAGCTCCGCAGTCTGCAGCCGCCCCCCCTCCAGGCCCTCTGGGCCCTCTGGGCCGCCAGCCCGGCCCTGGCTTGTGATCTCCGCGGGCTATGCCAAAGCACGCAGTCGCCAGGTCGCGCCTCGCGGTACTGAGTAATGGAAGAGGCAGCACGCAGCGCAGCGCATCTGCTTTAAAGCAGGCCCGGCACTGCCGCGTTCCCGCAGAGACGACCGAGGATGAGGCCTTGTCTTCCAGGCTTTGCGATGTGCCAAGTCCTGGTCATTTCAAAAGGAAGCCACGGATGCAGTGGATGACACCGACGGAGGGGAGGTCCAGGCGGGGGGCTTGCAGTTCGGATAGGTCTTGCTGATGAAGAGATCATGCTGCATGGCTCCATTCAGCAGTCGTGGCGCGTCTCAGCAATCGCATGAATCGCATGTTGCCTTTGTAGGGCACTGCATGCCCCAGGGTGTCAAGTTGCACAGCTGCAGGATGGGAGACGGAGCTACGAGACCTGCTGCTTGTCTGCACCTTCTGAGCCTCTGGCCCCGGCAGTGCCCTGCTGCTTGAAGGTGTCGGCTCCTATGCCTGGCTCTACGACAAACAGGCGCGAGTTCTCTCATGACCTGGTCTGAGCTCCCGCTTTGTGGCCTACGCCAGGGCTACGACTGGACCGAGCTCGCGGGTCGAAAAGAGAAGGGGTCCAAGACCTCTGTGGCATTGATCATAGGCCGGAGCTTGTCGACCTGTTAGTCTGCCTCTGATGCTTCGTGTCGACCTGAACGAAGATTCTCCCAAGCGCTCCTCTGTCACAACGACGAACCGTGTCAGTTTCGGGAGGCTACTTGGGCCACCACTTCGCCGGTCTCCAGCAGCCCTGGATAGGCTTCTCGGTGCAGAACGGGATGTTGCTTTTGTTGCAACCTTCTGTGTCGGCATGAAGCACGGTACAGCATTGCTCTGCTGCGTCCCTCGGTTTCTCGCCGAGCTCGATGTCGTATTCGGCGGCATCTGATCTGGCCTCAACCCCGAAGCCCGAAACCCCCATACTCCAACAGCCTAAACCAAGCCCTGCAGCTTAGAGTTGACAATGAGACGCTTGCGACTCAGCTTCGGAGAACTTCGTGCGTGCGGTCGAGACGGAGCTTGAGCTTGCGTTGCTGAAGGCCGGTTCAGGGTTTTGCGGTTTCGGGTGCTTCAGGCTGCGTTCAGGCTCCGAGAGATTCCTAGAGATGAATGCTGAAGTGGGGCATCGTGGAAAAAGCTGTCACTTCCACTCAGGGCCAGAGTTCCCCAGAGCGTCTCTTCATGAACACCTTGCTCGAGAAGCGCATCTCTCTTATGGTCGTTGCATGTCTTGTTTGCGAAAGGCAAAAAAATTGGACAAAAATATGCTTCTCCTGAGGCCCCGATTGTGTGTTTGTGCGTAGTCTTTTGCTTCCGCGCGATAACCTGGGGCTGCTGTCTTTCCCCGGCGCTTCGCGTCTTTTTTTGCCCTCCATGTGCAGCATGCGGCGGCGATCTCGCAGCTACGTCCATGAACTCTATAACTCGAAGAAACAGCATAACCCCCAAGCCCTGAAAAGCGGAGACACCCCTGTAAGCCGTAAACCCTGCAAGGCGGGAGCCATGATTCCGGAGAACTTTGGCAACCTCTGCAGGCGACGGCTCTGCCGAGCATTTTTTGCAGCGCAGCAAGTCATGATGAACGTACCCATAGGCCCCATAGTAGTTCCTCTTTGGGATTACCTTATAGGATTCTAAATAGGAACCCCAAAAAGGAACTACTTTGGGGCCTATGGGTAAGGCTAGGCACAGGGCGTGCAGCAGCGGAGCCATCCTTCGAGTCCCCTTCTCCGCAAAAAAGGCTGCGCTGGAGCCGGGTCGGGCGAACCGACGGCGGCGTGGGGGCGCCCAAAGCGCAGACTCGGGACATTACGAAACATGGTCTGCCAGGCAATGCAGCAGCAGTATACCTGTAAACAGTAATTATTGCGACAGTCCCTGGCCGTGTCCATGAAGCTGCAATAAAGGATCTCACAAAACAACTCTTGGCGGTTCTTTCGCTTTCACACATCCAACCGACGTGCCCAGGTCAGCGCAGCTTGTGCCCCCGGCGTTGTTTGTAAGAAGCGCAGTGCGGGGGTCCATGTGCCTTGATCGACGACCGAGAAGGTAGAAACCGGAACCACAGGCGGAACACAACAGCATGATCCTTGCGATCTAGCTTTCTTGGCAGGCAACGTGGTAACCGGCCGCCTGATTGTTGGCAAGGACATACGACTCTGCCTCGCAGGGATCGAGAACTTTAGTTAAGAACGCAACTGCGCCTTTCTCGGAAGATCGTTTGAAGGACATGAGCTCAGAAGTGGACTCGTGCGCCCGCAGGTTTTTTAGCTCGAGCTGAGCATCCCAGAGACGGCCAGTGGCCATAGTTGATGCATTTCAGCTATACCGATTACCTGTGCTTATTCACTTTCAGCAATCTCCATTTCTCCAGCCACAGGACATTTGGCTGCCACACGTAGGGCGAAGCAAGCCCCGCAGCGGTAACGAGAATCCGATTGTCACTGCGACCATGGGCGGCCGCAACAGCCGTCCGAGCGCCACGCCCGCCGGGCCGCGCATCGTCGCGACGAATGTGCCCAGCGTCGCACAGGCGCGGACGGGGACGGCTGCATCTGCTTGCGGCAGCGCAGCCGGCCCGGCAGCGAAGAGATGCCAGAGCCTCCGCTCCGCTCCGAGGCCGCCACCTCGGCGCTGACTGGAGGCAAAGTGGGCGGCGGTGTTTCACGGGGCCGCGAGGGCTTAAGGGGACGGGAACTTGCGCAGACAACACCACGGCCTTGTCGTTTTCCGAGCCAGGTCACGCATGCTGGACACTGCCACGAAAGGACTGAGGGTGATGGGCGCTTTGGGGGCCATGCCTGGGGCTTTCAAGGTTCACGACAGGTCCGAAATGCCAAACTGGAGCAGGACGTCGTTGGCATCGTTATCTCCTGGGGAGGCTCTGCTGCCGAAATTCCAGGATCATGAAGACGAGACAGTTACTCCCACTGCAAACAGGTGCCACGTCCTTGGCTACTGCCGACCTCCCTTCGGAGTACAGGGTTCCTTGGCAGCGACCGGGCAAGGTGAGCATCTTGTGGTGTGCGGCACTGCCTTCTGAGGTCTTCGCCCTGGGCGACGGTGCCACGCTGCCTGGAGGCCCTGACCCCTGTGCTCGCATGTCGGACGTGGACGTGTTCGGACTTCTTCCGGCCAGGCCCCGGGCTTTACATGACCCCACCTGGGCCACCGCTGCTGCTTGTGGTGGCGGAACCGGGGGAGGCAGGAGGGCTGTTGGAATGGTGTCCATTCGCGTCGGATAGTGGCTCTTTCGGAGTTCGCAGGAGTGGATAGAAGCATAGTAGAGCTCGCTTGGCTCAAGGATCAAGGTGTGAAGCGGACAGCAAGGGCACTGTGCTGGAAGTCGTCTACAGTGCGTAGGACTCATGCGCTCCAAAGTTCCTGCTATAGTCTGAAGTCCTTCATGCTGACGTTCACAATGAAATACTATCATCATCACTACCGCCATCATCATCATCATCACCATCATCATCATCACCACCATCATCATCATCATCGTCATCATCATCATCATCATCATCAACCTCGGAAAAGTCCTCATCAGCAACATCAACATCATCATCAACATCAACCTCAACATCACCACCACCGTCACTTCACCCTCACTATCACCATCACCCATCGCCATCATGTTGGCCCTTATGCTCATCCTGTTAGTAGTCATCGTCGTCGGCATCCTCGGCGGCGTCGGCATCGTTTTCCGCACGTCGCTGTGGGCGTTGGCGTCGTGGTCGTCGTCGGCGTCTGAGCAGCGTCGTCTTCATAATCATACTTACTGTTTCACAATAATTGTATCTTACTTAACATTATCATACTCTTGTACTTGCACCATGCAGCGTCATTTAAACGTTGCTGACCTGCGGAAATACTAGTGCTAAAGCGTTCGAGGTGAATGTCTTGAAGCACCTGGCCGTGGCTCCTGGCTGCCACCCGGCAGCTGCAACGGAGCTGGTCTGCGACTGGTTGAAGTCGATGCTGCCAAAGAGGCGAACCTGTGTTGTGTCCGTTCCACTCTCCCCCTTAGCCACGGCTAACTGCTCGGCCTGCGAGGTGCAAGCTTGAATGCATCGAAGATGCGAGCGCGTGCGGGCTTGACTTATCCCAGCTACAGCAGCTGGCGTCTGCGGCCTGAGTAGAAAAAGTGAGTCGATGTGCGAATCAGGCTTGAAGCACCAACCAGTGGCTCTGACATAGTTGTCAGCGAAGCCGCAGGAGGAAGGCGCGCTGGATGCACTTGTGGAGAGCATTCGCTCGCTGCTTGTCAGCAAAGGGCTGGCGGTCAGCACAGGGCTGGCGCAGTATCTTGTTGTTCAGCGCAAGCAGAGGAGCACGGGATGGGGTAGGAGGCAACTGCAGAAAGTCGACCGGCGCAGCTTTTGTGACAGTGGCTGCAGCATGTGCATATGGCATGCCGAGAAAAACTCCCAACAAGACAACACTGCATGCTGTTTTAACACTCATAGCCTTCCAGACTGTCCCTAACTGCGCAGCTCTGCAGTCTTTCTGCACCTCGAGGTTCCTGCCTCCCGATGTCCGGTCCCTCAGCTCAGCCGCGGAAGGAGCTGGGGCCTCTCACACCGTGTCTTGAGGTGGAGTTGCACGGCGCGGCCACGGTTTCCAAACGCTACAACGCACGTTGGGTGTTGCCGGCTTACTTTTTGCGGCAGCCACGCCTTTATGACTGCAGTAGTGCTTTGCGCCGCCCGCTTCTTCCTGGAAAGGAGGGCGCTCGCCGCGACTACCGCTTCTTGTTGCCCAGCTTCTGTGCCGCTTGGAGAAATGTACGCGGTAGGAGTCTTAATCTTCTCATTGAAGCTTTGCTACATTCGCAATGGTTCGCAAGACCAAGGTCGTGCCAACGTTGGCCAAAGTCCGCCAATGGCTGGCAGAAAACAGGTTCTGAGCTTCTGTAAGTACTGTGATGAGCACTCTGGCAGCAGCTTCTGGCAGCCAGGCCCATGGAATCCCCGACGGGTTTCAACGTTGAGGCATGAAGTGACAGCCCTGACACATCTGATGCTTGTTGTTCACCATTGCTCGTGGTCCATGCAAAGTCAGCTCGGCGGCTGATCTTTGCGATGCCTGCGTCAGGATCTCAGGGAGATTGAGGAGGAGCTGGGACTGCGGCAGGCCAAAGTGCGGAGTAAGAAACATGACGGCCCAACACAGCTTCGGATTCTCAGCGCCACTTGAATTGACGGGGTGAGCGCCTCTGCCAGGTTCGCCTCACCGACGACCAGCTGAAGCGCTTTCGGGAAGCCTTTTCTAGCTTCGAGGGTACGTGGTCCCAGCTGGTTTGAGCCCGAGAACCCAAGCTCCAGTGGCACGAGACTTGTGGCAACTTGCACCACTTCCCAGCCGATGCCAGGCACTACTTCGGGAACTTCGCCAACAAGAAGTTGGATCCCATGGCTTGAAGCTGAGACGTCGAAAGGGCTCAGGGGCTTAGTGACGCAGACCTGGAAGCACTGGGTACGTCATTTGACCGTTTGAGGCTACTCTTAACTTTAAGCTCGCTGCTAAGTAGCTGATAAGATTGGAGCATCCCATCATCTCATCATCTCATCATCCATCAGTCAGATTCTGATCTCAGGGCCCCCAAGGCTTCCGGCACCTGCGAAGGCGCCGAGACTGCAAAGCTTGTTCTAAGATCTTCGAAGTGAAGGCATTTCAGGTGGATGACTTGGGAGTTTCGGGTGTGGCTCCAGCAGTGTACGAATGCGCATACGTGGAGTCCGGCGGCTGTTCGAGATTGCACGGCGCAGAAGCCTAGCCGCAAATCCCCAATCCGCCCAGTTTGTCCCTCCAGGGCGGCCTGTGGAGAACCCTTCCTGGATGACTTCGGCAGAGAGTGGCTTCCATTGGAGATCAGCCCGGTTTCCCAGACACGACGCACCCTGAGAAGGTAGAACTCGGTCTGACTGCGAGGATGCAGGCATCAGCTGTGCTGATGGACTTTGGGAACACGGGAAACGTGGGCTAGTGACTGGTGCATGCTCACGGACCCATCTGTCTGCCAGTTTGTTTCCAGAAATCCATGTCGACATGTACCTATGCCGACATCCACATCGCATCTATATCTGCGTCTATGTGCATATCTGTATATGTATCGACACCTACATCTAACCTTCATAATATCGGTATCCATAAAAGCGACATGTGATCTGCTGTACCGGATCCCCTTGTGATCTTGGCTGCCTGTCACGGGACCCTGAAGTTGGAAAGCTGAGGTGGAGATAGTTTCCTGACTCACCAGATCAGGAAGATGGTGGCCACCGCGGCCTTGGCCCTTTGGGCTTACAGTGACTCCACGGTTTAGGGTTTAGGGTTTAAGTGTTCGACATGCCGCAAGATAAGCCTCTCCACACATTTCGGGTTTGGGATGTTGGGAGTTCAATCTGGGTCCATGAGGGTTCGTGGCTTCTTTGCATTGATGGGGGTGCAGAACCAAAAGCGCGGAGGGCTTACCGAATCGCTTCCACCCTTGCAGGTTGCGCAGGGCATAGTGTCGCTGGAATTCATCCAAGCTGCCATGCACAGGCTGCGGGTTTCAGTCGCGGTCTTCGGAAGACGAGTCCAGGAAGGTAGGTGGACTGTTCCAGATGGGTTTCAATCTCCACTTCTGGGGATGTCCAGACTGGCGGACCTAGGGCTTAGCTGCAACTTCTTGTTCGATCAAGCTCGAAGTGCTGTGCTCTCGGGCAGGCGCATCTACGTGAAGACGCACCTTGCTTGCAAGCCCGATGCAGTTAACCCATTCACCTCAGCTCGTGAAGAGAGTCGGATCTACACTCTCGCACGAGTCAAGGCAGCGGTTTCCGCCGGTCGGGCTGATGTTCCAAAGGCCATAATTCTTGGGGCCAAGGAAGAAATGCCTCTGCCCCTCACTCGCTTGGGCAGCAGGCCGTTCTTCAGCCCGAAGACTCCGCAGCGTGCCGGTGTGGAGGCGCGGATGCACCGGCGGAGTCGGCTTTCTCTTCCCAGCTCATCCCCTTCTTTTGTTCCTATGACAAGGGGAGTACAATGTGAGGTTTAGGGTTTAGGGTTCAGGGTTCCCATGACAAGGGGAGTAGAATGTAAATAGTTCCGACGTGTGGCGGAGGCAGCGATCCAGTCTGAAGATGTCTCCGACCGCATCGCTGCCATGAAGGTCGGCTGTTTTGTGTTTGAACACTGGCTTCTTCTGCATATCTGCCATCTGCACTGAAGCGCTCTTCTGCCATTTTTCAGCACATCGTGGGCACGCCTGCGCTAGTCTTAGATGGCATGCAGCGGTGTTTTCTGGGATGGGTGAGGCGCGCCTCGAGGAGGCCATCCTCAAGGCCCGGCCCGGCCAACCCATCCAGAGCCGCAGAGCAGCGCAGAGCAGACTTCGTCAAGGTTTCGGATGTCGGCCTGCCCGCCCTGTCCGCCCTCCGCCAGGAAGCAGATGATCGGCGAAGCGCAGCGGCCTGCTGCATTTTCAGTCTCGGGGATGAGGGAAGGTGAGTTTGAGGCTTAAGCGCAGAAGCCCGGGACATGGATTTCGCACGTTGAGGTGAAGTGGCTGGCCTGCGTGGCGCACTTCGTCGGAAGCTGAGTGTTTGTACAGGGTCCATCAGTGTTTATGTGTTCGCCAGTGTTTTTGCGACCATCGCCTTGCCAGTCTGCAACATGACAGAATGACAGAAAGTAGACGGGGTGACGTCTGACTTATCAACAGGAGCCGGAGGACATGGAGAGCGAGGCTTTCCGCAGCTTCACGGCCCTCTGCAGTTGTGGATGTTTAGTTTGGGTTCTTGAGATGCCGGACAAGCCGTGCCCATAAGAACTCAGTCTCTTTGGGGGGGCGCCTTCCTTGTAGGAGGACCTTCCTGTATCGATCGGAGACATCTTTCCAGCCGGATTCCTGCCCTGCCCTACCCCTACTTCCAGTTAAAGCATATGCAAACCTTGTATTGCGTATGGATTGAGCAACCAGAATCAAGCACCACTCAGTTTCACCGTCGACACAGGTTCTCAAGGAGTTTCGGGAGCTGAAGTCAGCGATGGATCGGCAGATTCGTGGGCGGCGTGCAGCAAGCACCCAGGCTCCTCGGTTTGTGTGCGGCTGGCCAGGATCACCCTTAGCCTTAGTCTCTGTGTGGTCGTGCTATGTGGGAGTTTCCGAAAATTAGGGGGTACCTTATTTGGGGGTCCTTATAATACGGATCCTACTATTTAGGGTACTATATTGGGGTCCCCTATTTTCGGAAACCCCCATGTTGCGCCGTGCTTCCAAGAATTAGCCTTGGCAACGGTGACTTTCCATCGTCGCAGAGACCTGCAGGTTGTGTGCATCCGTGCCGGCGAAGGAAGCGATCTTTGGCCCTCCCCTTGGCAAAAGGCAGTTTGACCATCAGCACAGTGACGTGGCGAGGGAGACTTCGATCCGTAGTTTTCACGGATCAGCCCCTCCAAGCTGGACCTGAAGCGTCCCTGACTCTCCTAAGGTTGGGGCGCCACTTCCAGAGCAGATAGGTTCTCGCATGGAAAACAAAGCGTTCTGCGACGCTGCAGCGACGTGCAAGAGACGTTTGGAGAGTACATTGCCTCGTGAAGATGTGGGAGTTTCCAAAAACAAGGGGTACCTTATTTTGGGGTCCTTATAATAAGGATCCTATTATTTAGGGTACTATATCAGGGTCCCCTATTTTCGGAAACCCCCATGTGAGCCGGGAGCCAGCCATGGCTTACTACAGGTAGCCAGTCTCGGGACTTTCAGATTCTGGCTCAGTGCTTCCGCGAGGCCCACCACGGGAGCCAAACCAGCCTCCGCCTGGCTACGCGGAGAAGTTGCAGGTGAGAGAGTTTGGGGTTAAGAGCAATCAAAATAAGAAGGAGAAGCACAACAGCAGTACCGCCGCCACCGCCACCACCGTCGCCCCCATTGCCACCAGTACCACCATGACCATCATGACCACCATCACCACCGGTACCACCATCACGTTCTTGTTCTTCACTTTCATCGCTTCAACGTCACTCTCGTCACTTCCTCAACCTCTTCTTCATACTTGCATGGTCGTGATCATGACCATCACCATCGTCATCACCGCCATCATCACCCTCATCGCCATCGCCAGCGCCCTCCTCCTCCTCCTCCTCGGAAGGTCAGCTCTTGACAGGAAGCTGTGCCGCCACCGTGGCAAAAAAGCGCACCCGCTTCAGGCGAAGAAGCCCAGCGTGACCTCCTCCCGAGTCAAGCCTGGCCCTGAGCAAAAGCCTCGGCCATGAGCTCGGTTTCAGCTCTCTCTAGCCCCGATGCACCATGTTATACCATGTTCGTTCTCCTGCAGATTGTGCAGTTTTCATCTTGTGACAATATACCCGCCTGTCGGTCTGTTTATCTAGACCACCTGAGAGCCATTGATGCAGAAGGGAAAGCTTTTCTAGTCTTGGTTGCAGAGCTGAGGCTTTCTGCCTACACTCCCGCGCGCAGCATCGGTGCCGCCGAGCCCCCCCCGCTCACGCAGCCAACAGAACTTCAGGAACCAAGCCAGACCTTTTGACACGTTTTGCCATGTCTCGGGCTTGTTAGGGTAAGTACTTGATCGTCGCCTGCCTGGAGGGACCTAGCACGTTCTTGGGCTCGCAGGCATGTGCGGCGGTTGTGTCTTAGACAGGTCCATCATGCCATGGGACTCTCGGCACTCTCATGAAAGGGGAGGACGAGGACGGCCTGGCACAGCTTGTGCGGCTCGTGCTAGACCAAAGAGACGAGAGACCGGCGGTGCATTGCGGGGACTTCCTGAGCTTCGCAGAGCTCGAAGAACGTGTGGCGGAGCTCTCCGTGCGCCTTGGGGACTTGGAGGACACGTTCTCCGGATTCTTGGGGATTTGCGTTCACCGGAGCTTCGCCCTCGTGGTGTCCTTGCTCGCTTGCCTTTTCAGCAAAAAGGCTTTCATTTGCCTGGACCCGGCATTTCCAGCAAAGCGGCTAGGCTTCATCCTGGAGGACTCCAGGCCAGGGGCGCTGTTGCTGGATGAGGCAGCAGTCCACCAACATTCCCACCTTCTGAGCTTTTGCCGTCATTTCCTCCTGCTGGATCGACAAGGGCAGGTGCGTCACACTGCTACGCAGCCGCAGAAGCCCCGAGGTGAAGATATCCCAGACGGAGTGGCTTATGCCATCTACACAAGTGGCAGCACAGGCCAGCCCAAGGGCGTGGTGGTCTCACGGTCCAACTTGTACCTGCGCGCGAAGAGAGGAAAGCAAGTGCACAAAGCATTGGAAAGCAGAGAGTAGAGCCAAGTTTCATAGTGAGGGAAGTAAGGCTCCAGCCAAGGCATAACTTGCTCTCCTTCTTTTTTGAGCTTCTTGGCTCCCGACTCGACAGCTTCGTTTGGGTGGCGGTGACGACTTTCTGCTTTGACATCGCCCTTCTTGAGCTGATCCTTCCCCTTATGTGCAACTGCATGTGGCCCGGGTGCGTTTGGTAGGACTGAAGGAGGCTTCTTGCAGCCAGGGTCTGAGGCATGTGGGATGCGACAGGCTGGATGTTGTGGAAACGGAGATCTCCAAACAGGGGCCCGAGCTGAAAGCCCGTCTTGCCAAGTATCCCAGGCCGCAGCATGACTATCCTATCTTCATGCAGTCACATGCTCCGTGGTGGCGGACGGACACAGTTCTGCGGTTCCTGTTGCAGGCTGGCTTTCCAGGCCACGCCCAGCAGCTACAACCTCCTCAGGTGCTTGGGAAGCGTGGTGAAGAAAGGAAAGCTTCGAAGACTTAAGACCAAGGAAGCTTGGTAGGGCAAGAGAGATGCAGGCTGTTGCAAGACTACATTGACTACATTCGAGGGATGCAGGAATGCAGTAAGGGACGGGGGTATGCCCTCAACAGTCTCTAAGCACAATGCGGTTCTGTAGGTTTGCCAGGCCATGCAAGGGTGCAGCGTGGCACGCGAGTCGGGTTGTTCAAGAAGAGGCACGTGTTGCATCCTTTCCGGCGGCAGGTCCTGTGGCTGGGCCCCTCCAGCAGGAGCAGTGCTGCTCTGCGGCGGCGAGCCCTTCCCTCCGTGGCTCAGCGAGTTCGGCAGCGATGCCTATCTCCACAACGTGTGCCTCTCCTTGTCTGCTACAGTGCGTTTTTTTTTTTCCCGGTCGAGGCAAAGCTTTGTGTCTCGCCGCAGGTATGGTCCCACAGAAACTACAATTTGGTCGACGGCGCAGCACGTCGACGCGCTTGCCGCTGATGCTTCGGTGCCCTGATAGGTCGTTTCTACCAGTTCCCTGACTAAGGGTAGGACGCAGCGTGGAAGCCACTGCAGGTTCCTATCGGGCCTCCCATCCGCGAAACGACCCTGCGGCTGTCCAGCGATCGCGAGCCAGCCGATCGAGCCGAGAAGTTCGAGTCCGGAGAAATCATCATAGGTGGGATGGCCGGAGTCAAAGCCCTTGCTAGCACCGTGGAATCGCTGAGCGCTGCCAGGAGGTGCTGGCGTGAGCCTGGGGCTGCATGGCTTGACTTGGCGGCTTCGTGTGGGTCCCTTTTCAGGAGTCCTCGGCTCTGCTTAGTGTCTGGACTGCTTCGTTGTCGCGGCAGTCATAGTCGCGGATTTCGCCCCGGTCGCTACAACTGTTGCGGTCTCCGAAGTTGACCGAGGTATTGGAAGAGGGATCACTTGACTCTCGAGCGCTTTACGCCGGCTCTCAGCGGCGGCAAGGAGTTCCGCACAGGAGCTCAAGCACTGTACTACAATATAATACAGTATACTATACTACAAAATAAGGTCTCTTTGGGCGGTTATGCACATGCTACAAGTAGCATGTGCATCGACCAAGGCATGAGCAGGAGGAAGCCCCGAAACTCCTCCTTGCCTTGCACAGGAGACTTGGGACGCAGGGACGACAGTGGGAAGACCTTCTGCCTGGGTAGGCCTGGAAGTGCCTGTGGAACGGACTCTAGTGAAGGGCTTGGGGTTTAGGGTTTATGGATGCTAGTTTAGGGGTTTGGGGTTTCGTTCGTGATTAGGGTTCAGCGGGAAGATGATGCTTCGAAGCAACAGCGACATTGCTCCTCTCGCCCATGCTTTCTTCTGGGCGAGGATAGACGAACAGGTCAAGGTCAACGGCTTCCGCTTAGAGCTGTGCGACACGGCCGCAGAAAGTGTATGGATAAAGCTTGGATGGTACTGGCTTGGTGTTTCATTCACATTTCTGACACTACTTGCGCAGGGCAAGTTTTTAGGCGGCAGTTGGTTCTGTTAGTGACTGCAAGATTTCGGGCGAGGCGAAGTAGATGCTGCTTTGCGCGGCTGCCCTGAAGTCGAGTTCGGCGCCTGTGATGTGAGGACAGGGCCATGCTGTATTCTGTTGAGATTACCAATCCACAGGGGGATTTCCGAAAATAGGGGACCCTAATATAGTAACCTAAATAGTAGGATCCCTATTATAAGGACCCCCATACAAGGTACCCCTTATTTTCGGAAAACCCCACATAGGGTCTTCGGGCTTTCAATTTCGAAGAGAGTGCCAGGCGGAACAGGCTCGACCAACTCGTCCTTGTCGCTTACGTGGTCTGGCGGGGAGGCGAAGGCTCCCGTGTGCTAGCTCTAGGTGACTGTCAGGCCCACCCCGCAGAGGAAGACCCTTGAGTATAACTGTTGATTTCCGAGATGCCACGGGGAGAAGCTTCTGCAGTCAGAGATGCTCGTCTGCGGAGGTCAGGACGGGCGAGGCCGTCTTTATACCCATCTTCGAGAACATCTTCCGGAGTATATGTGCCTCATCGGATCTACACCGCAGTGCAGTCGCGGCCGCAGCAATGAGCTTGCGCAAGGTGGCCGCAGAAGACCGTCGCCTTGGACAAGCTGCCCGTGACTCTGAATGGTGTCTCGACCTTGATGTGGGTAGTTGTCAAAATTATGGTCCCTTTTGGGGTACCCTAAATAATAGGTGCCGTATTATAATAAGGACCCAAAAAGGGACCATAATTTTGACAACCACCCATGTGCACTTTTCGGCCAAGCACGATGTTTCTTCTTGTCGGGTTTGCAGGAAAGCTGGAGCGCAAGCGTTTGCCCGATCCTTGGCAACTCCAGAGTGAGCTGCTGCAGGACGCATTCACTGACCTGAGTCCGGAGCAACGTCCTCGCAACTCGCGGATTGATGTGTGATGGCTGTCGCCTTGTGAATCAGTCGTTTGAGGATCTTCAGGCAGACTGTCCTGTGGCTTGAAAGTTGTCAGAACTTCTGTCTGGCACTAAGTGTCATTCGATTCGTTCTGTCCCCTCCGTTTGTATCATGCATGTTCCTGCACGATCAGTTTGTGGGGGCCGGGTGGGGTGCCTGTCTTGCCCATTTCCAGCGCATGACATGACCACGGCTGCAAGACCTCGAAAAGGCACGTGTAAGTGCGTAAGCCTCTCATGGGTAGGGAGATCCAGAAACATGCGGAGATCAGTAGGCAGAGGTGATGACGGGTCGGTAAGATAAAGATGCGCCGGATGTCAGCGGCCCAGCTCCCAACGCTCCGAGATGCTCAAAGCTTCGCACTGTCTCGTAGATCCTAATTAGCCTTCCTTTGCCTGCAGAGGACAAAGAGAAACATCAGCCGGTGAAGCTGCCGGAAGCTTTTCGGCTGCAGGTGTCTGTCGTAAGCGTTTCGAAACCTGCCTTTGGAGGTTCTTGTCTTGTTGTGCATTTGCCGTGGTGACAGCTGAACCACGGATTCTGCAAGGTGTGGGCAGCATGTATGCCTACTGCCGACGCTTTGCGAATCCTCGTGTTGCAGGTCATTGAGGATGGGTTCCCATTTCGCTACATGTCGTCACGTAAGTCAATAGCATCAGTGCACAGAAATATGTGCTGGGACGTGATCCTACTGTAGCACGCTTCTGGTAGTTCTGAGATTTGCTCGTGCATCGATCATGTCCCTGATCTGCAGGAGCTGATCGAGGGCACGAGCCCTGGTGTCATGCACCAGAAAATAGGGGAGAGTGACAGAGGCACCTCGCCCTGCATCGCAGACCCAGAAAGCCTTGGCAGACCTACGCCCCAATGATTTGCGACAGGAGAGGAGTGGAGGCATCTCGGTCTGACCTCATCCATGGCTGCGGCCTTCGCCGTTGCACTTGGGAGCCTTGGGGGGGGGGGGGGGGGGGNNGGGGGGCTTCTTGCCCCGTGGTAGTGCCCAAGCTGGGAGCTTCAAACAAGATCCAGAGGAGAAGCCTCAGCCTGCAGTGGCCGCAGAGACGCTGGCCGGCGCTGGGTGCCACGACCATGTTCGAGCTCCTCAGCGAGGGTGTAGGGTTTAGGGTTTAGGGTTTGAGAAGAAGAAGCAGAGGGAAACAGAAGGAGGCGTCGCAGATCCTTGCAGGTGTGCCACGGTCTCTCGCCTGGTGGCAAAGCTGCTCCAAGAGGAGAAGGCCGTGGAGGCGGCTCCGGCCTCTCTCGGACGCCGCGGCGCTGGCGCTGCGCGGCATGTGGCCTCCCTCGGCAGCCTTTGCATGACGGCGCAGGTCGCTCCCAAATCTTTGAGGCATGGGCGGCTTGCGGGTTGGTTCCCTGAACAGAGGCCATGGAGCACCTGGGCTTGAGGCGATGGCCGGGACCTTTTGACTGGGTTTTTTCCGCGCCTGAGATGGTCACCCACTGCCTCAAGGACCTCGGGTCAGGGGCCAGCTTTCATGGCATGATGTTTGAGCACAGCGGAGTTCTGCAGACCCGCACTCTTGAATGACCCTGAGGACGGTTTTGCAGCCTTCCTTGATCAGTCGTGCTATGTTGCAACCGCGTGCCGAGCTGAGGTGGTTTGAGCCCATGTTCCACCAACAAAGTCGAAGGTTGTACAAGGGTAGAGCAAGACAGCAATGCAACTTGCATGCAGCCGGTGTTTTGCAGGTGCAAGAAGGCGGGCCACAAGATGTATTCACCCATGTTGCATCGAGATGTGATCTTCAATCACCACAATCCAATGATCCCTGCCGACTACGAGTTCCTTCGGTCTTGCGTGCACTCCTTCCAGCATTTGCTCAAGGGCTGGACGGCAACTCCTGTCAACATCTCGCAGGACGACTTCGTGCTCTTCCTCCTTTTCAACCTGGAGCGGCGAGTGGAGTTGCAGGATGCCGCTGTGCTGGAGCTCTTCGAAGAACTCGTAAGGCAGTCGCAGCTGCCCTTTCGGCTGCTGGTGGTGAAGGTGGTGACGAAAGCTGCGGATGCACCTCAGGAATCCCTCCTGATGCAATGCTCAGTCGAGGTGGCCGGACAGAAAGCCAAAGTGCAGGAGCTCTATGTGCACCAGCTGAAATGCCAAGGCAGCCATGATGGCTGGCGCTTCAGCGACGATGCGGACTACCAGGCACTCGAGAGAATCATCTGCCGCCTCTCTTCGGAATGGAAGCTGTTTGCCGGTGCGCCGACGATGCCTTTGCTTCCCTGCAGTTCCGAGGGCTGCCGGTACCTCTGCACCTGGCTTGCAGGCCACTGCTGCCACCGCTGCTCCAGCAAAGCAGGCTCGCATGGCCCTCGCTGCGATCGTCACTGCGGCGAGGGCCAGGACCAGCAGGGGCCCGTTGAGCCTGTAGGTTACAAACCTCCCGGACACTTCTTGGGCACCGTTTCGAGGGCGGAGCGCTTTCGAACCTCTCTTAGTCAGGCCCAAACACAGGGCCGACAGCGGCCGTCGCTGTCGTTGCAGACTTCGGCCCTGCGCCGGCTGGAGCGTTGCCTCAGAGCCGACACCGAAGCCGAGACTGACGAGACTCTTCGGGTCTGCGAGAGTGGCGAGAGCTTCGAGCCTTTGGGGCATCCGATCCATGAGGGGCCAAGCTGGAAGCTCTGGTGTCCTTTGGAAGCCAACCTCTCCACTTCTTTGAAGCTCATAGAGGCCGCTCTCTTGCAAGCAGCACAGCTCGATTCGCTTCAAGAAGATGCTTCCGCAAGGAGACTTCGGATCCCTTGAGGGCTCTGCTTCTTGGCCCGATGAGGGCCTTCGACGCCCTGCCAGGCGACCTCACAGGCCGGAAGCGGGAGCGGGGAAGTGGAGGGAGTTCTGCTCTTCTGTCTGAGCCATTGCATGAAAGTGCTTGGTGTTTGGGACTGCGATGTGGTCAGGCTTTCATGTGGTATGCCGCTTCAAGCAGAACACGGCGCCTTGGGTTGAGTTTTCTTACGGTAAGGCCTGCACTAGGGAACGAAGCGCTGCAAGCTCGAAGAATGGATAGGGTCCGGAGAGCTCAGCAGGAGCTCCCCGTAGAAGGAAGGATCTTTCGGACGGCTGAACCCCTGGTGCTGTTAGGACCTCTTCGCAGTTACAGCCGGGGACAACGCGCCGGCAGAGAAGCTTCCAAGGCGAGCAGCTGGGAGGGGTGTTGCTGGAGCTTTAACGGGCATAATAATGGAGCGAAGTTGCGAGGACACCGGAGGAGTTCGTGGTGTTGGCCAGAGATGCGATATAGCCATCCTGATTCCCAGCTTTCTCGCCGGACCACCAACGGACAGGGCACCTCAGAGCTGGGGCTGGCAAGGTGAACACTTGCCACTTCGGGACGCAGTCGGACGGAACATGATCTCTTGAAATAGCCAACGCCCACGAATCCAAGGCCGTAGGGGGAATCAAGCTTGGGGTCGTAGGTGCAATGGTAGGACCAACGTGGGACTTGTTGAGCAGCCCCTACGGGTAGAGACAGGAAGTATGACGTTCGACGACTTGTGGTGCAATCAGCAACACATCGAAAGAGTTGCAAAGATCAGAGGGGAAGACTGGTGAGCATTCGTTCGAGACCTGCACTGGAGGTCTCGCTGGCTTTCTATCGGCATGAGTCTGGACTGGCCTCATTTTGGTGGTATTGGTTCATGTGGCTTGAAGAGCTCAAGTCCCCGGCGTTTTTCGTTGTTGGCCTCTGCAAGTGTGGCCATCCCCGCAGTGATTCTGATACTCTCGGCCTTTGGTACGGCCGGTTGCAAGTTGTGTACGATGAGACAAACACTACCTCACCACCCTTGCCGGGTATGAACTCAAAAGCCTTCGGTCTGTGTCAGTGGTGGTGTTTCTGCGCCATGCCCTTAACTCGATCGGCCACGACGCAGACTTCGTTCGGCAGCAGAGTGCCGACACCAAATGCTGCGCACGAAAGAGCTCTGCGAGATCGCAGGAAGTGGCTCGTTGGATACCGAGGGTTGGTATGACTCGGACGCAGCAGTGCTGCGCCTCAGTAGGCCTACGTAAGATTTTTTCGAGGCACGACTAGGTGAGCTTGGCTGTGCTTCCCTTGGTCAGTCTCGGTTTGTCGCATCGAAGTGTACCACTCCAGTGTTGCGCTGGCATGTCGCCGCTCGCTGCAGCTGTTAGCTCGGAGATCCAAGCGGGCGGCGGCGCCCGCGCGACCCGAGCCTCAGGTTCATCCGTGCTTTACCCTGCAGCATCCGGGGTCGCATGCACGGGAAAGGAAGCTTACCAATCCCTGGCTTGCTGCAATCGAAGAGGTCATGTCGGTGAAATCCATCCGCGAGCAGGACGGAAAGGCCTTCTGCTTTGATGCTGTGCAAGACCTGCAGCAAGGACAGCAGAGAGGTGCTGGTAGCAGGCACCCTTGAAGCCTTAGCCAGCAACACCGGCCAAAGACAGTCAAGCCAACGTCACAAGCCAGAAGAGTGGGCTTGTTTTATGCCTAGTCGCAGAGTCGCAGAAATTAGAGAGCAGGAATCAGTTTCATGGGCATTTCCTTCCCCTGCCGAACCGATCCCAACTTGGTGCCAGGCGCTGCTGAAGCGGTGGCTTCCGGAGTGCTCCAGACCAGCAAGGGAGGGAGCGCCCAGCAAGACCCGGGTCCTCTTAGGCGGAGTAAGCGGTGAGGGTCTGTGAACCCAGGCCGTAGCGCCATAGGATATAGACGAGTGGCCGGAGGCTCCAAAACGCCTTGGGTTTTGGGTCGCACCTGGGCGCATACTGCTGTGCAGACCTTGAGGGGTTTTCACTTGGGAAGAGGAGAGCCTCGCCAGGTATTCCAACAATGCCTTTGGACTCGACTGCGCTGGATGTCTGGTGTCTCCCGGCGTGCCGGGCTTGGATGTGGCCTTCAACACTTGACACGTCTCTGCGCCGAGAAGGGGCTTGCAGCCCTGAAATCAGGTGCTCGATAGCTCCAAGGGCGAGGATTGGAATACCATCCTGGAGAAGAGCCTCAAGCTTGACTGTCTAAGAAACCACGGGCCCAAAACCCGCCAGGCCGAAGCCCGCACTCACTCTTTGCCAGCATGTGTGCGTGAAATTTTTTGGGTTACATGTGTACATGGCAGTATTTGCATAGCAAACTGGTTCTGGCAACAACACTCCATTCGTTGTCTTTGCACGCATGCATGTGCATACTGTGCCGCGTCCTTCTTCTTGCTGAGCTCTGTGGACCTTCACTCCCCAATGCAATGCGCGTTTTTAAGAAGCTGCCAGCAGAGCTGAATTAGGATTCAGGGCGCTGCCATCCCGAATCCAAGGAACCCTTGGCTAAAGACAGAGAAGCTCGTGGCCAAGCCGGACCAAATGATCGGAGGCCGAGGGAAAGCCGGCCTCATCGCTGTGCCGAGGCTGAACCAGACATATTACAGGAGATTTTTCCCGACATTATGTTTAGAGAACCAAGTTGATGGGCTTAGATGTTGTTGGATATCGTGAGATGCGATCGGACCTTCTTACATGTCGCGATGTCTTTTCGGATTCTGTCGTATTCCAGCAGCAGGCATTGGACTTCATTCTTCATCAATATTTGACATGATGACGACTATCGTTACTGATATTCTCACCACTGTAGCTACCATGATTGTCATCATCATCCATACTTTTGTTCTTGGCATCATCATTTTGTCAGCGCCATCTGCTGCTGCAAGAACGCCACTAGTACTAGCACGCACCATGGCAGAAACGATGTTGATACTTCCTCAACGCAATGCCTCCGTTGTGTCTTGCCAAGTAGTCAGTTCAAGGTGAACAAGTCCTTCGATGAGATCAAGGCATGTGATGGGGAGCTCACGGAGGGTTTGGGGTTTGGGATATAGGTGCATGCACCATGACCTCCGAACCGAGAGTTGATGACGCATTTGGAGGGGTCGCAACAGCCCACAGGCTTGGATCATGGAGCGGATGTGCAAGGACCGTGAGCAAAATAAGTGGTCTTGGACTGGCACATGATGCGTGGTAGGTGCCGCTGAAAGGTGTTTGACACACTGAGAACATTTTGGCTGCCGCTGTTGCCGGTGGCATACAATTCTGAATTCGTTCGAAGGAGACGACCGTGGGTGGCATCACAGGGCAGCTCACGCACTTCCTGTGCCTCAGCTGTTTTGTCGCAGCAGAACACTTGCAGAAGCGGTGGGAGCTCGAAGTTAGGTTCAGCGCTCGTAGCTGAGGATCGAGCCTTTTGTCCCGCATGCGCAGTCCGAGGAGGCCCGGAACTGAGAAGAGCAAAAATAAGGGGTACCCTATTTTGGGGTCCTAAAAAGAAGGATCCTACTATTTAGGGTACTATATTAGGGTCCCCTACACCTGGCATGCGTAGGCTGACTCCGCAGAGGCTGATACCAAGTTTCGACTGTCTGGGCTCGACAGGTAGTCTGCTCTTGACGAAGACCTCGCTTTGCTTGCAGTGTCTTTGCCAGAGGTCTACGTCTGCATGCAGTCGCACAGGTATAAGGACCCGGCTGACATGTACATGAGCAGGCTCGGAGTAGCCTGCGAGACCCTGCTCCAGCTATCAGGCTTGAAGCGCATCTGTTTCGATGGCTTCATGACCTTTCCATGGAAGAGCTCTGACAAGACGCAGCTGTTATTTGGGGGTGAGCACTTTATCGTTTCGGAGTTCGGTCGCGAGGACGAGATATTCTTCTACCATGAGGGAGGCGTGGACGTCGGCGATGTCGATGCAAAGGTGGGGCGCTCGCTTTCTTTGCCTTCAAAACGCCCAAGCGCCTTGCCGTTGCAGGCCTCCCGGCTCTCCATCCCAACGGGTTGCGAGGCCCGAAAGGGTTCCGGTTTAGGGTTTAGGGTTTAGGGTTTAGGTTTAGGGTTTAGGGTTTAGGGTTTAGGGTTTAGGGTTTAGGGTTTAGGGTTTAGGGTTTAGGGTTCCCAGGGACGTGGCTGAAGCCTTGGGCTCTCTCAACTCTGTCTGAACTGGAGGTTTCCGAGGACATGATTCGTTCTGAGCTCCTGGACAAGGTGGGGAACCTGGGCCTTCACAATTAGAGTAGGGTCTTGGGGGGTCTATTATACTATAAATGATAACAACAGTTAGAATATAGGGTTTTGAGGGGTATATTATACTATTTTTTTCATACGGACCCCGCCACTTGGCCCCAAAAACTCGGCCGAGTTTCGTTGTCGTTGGCAGGTGGAGCCGGGCAAGAGCGCGACCCTCGCGCGCTTCGTCAAGGCAAGGGGTTTTGGGGGTTTAGGGGTTTAGGGGTTTAGGAATTTAGGGTTTAGGGTTTTTTTTGGGAGGTTTAGGGTTTAGGGGTTTGGGTTTAGGGGTTTAGGGGTTTCGGCGTTTAGGGGTTCAGGGGTTTAGGGGTTAGGGCCTGCCTTGGCAGTCTGGGGGGGTCTTGTGTTGTCCCTCTGTGCGACGGATTACGAGGCACTATTTGCCTTCTACCGCGACCTGCACTTCGCATACCTGGAGATCAATCCGATTGCCTTGCTCTCTAACAACAAGGTGGCGAGGGTCAGGGTGCACAAGTTTTGAGGCCCGCCCAGTGTGACAACCGACGTAGCAGAATCCGACCAGCGAACTTGTGAAAGTGAACAGCTTCGGAGGAAGCCAGCAGAGCACATAGCAGAAACCCTGCCCGTCAGAATAGACTGGACCGTGGGGGGACGGCCACCAAAGCGATCCTCAGAAGCTTCAGCCCCAGCCGGCTCCAACTACACAGACAACACGAGGCAACGGCATCTTCAGGAGCGTTCCCTTACTTCACTGGTCTCTGCCTTTCCGGGTTTCTGTTTCAACCCTTGCGTGCACCTTGTCCAGTGCTGCAGCTTGGCAGATAGTGCCCCTGGACCTCGTCGCAAAGATCGACGAGACTGCCGCATTCTTGTTGCAGGCTCAGCTTCTTCGGAGGCTTGGCAGCCTCCCTCGAGTCCGAAGTCCGAAGCCTCCAAGCCGATCTGCAGCCTTGTGGCTCTCTTGAGAGAGGCAGACGTCCAACACAAAGAAAGAAAAAATAGGGACTTGGACTCGTGCATAGGTGGGAGGTAAGGAGAGCTTGCTTGCAGATTCCAGAGGCCGAAGAGATCCAGAGGCTCCAACCTCTATGCTGCCTGCCTGGGGCACCCAATATTAGGATTTAAGGTATATTCCTTAATTCAGGGGTATTCAGAGAACCCAATAGTATGATTTAAGGTATATTCCTTAATTAAGGGGTATTGGGTTCTCTGGGCATGCTCCTTCCGATCGCCCAGGTGCATGCAGAAGTGGGGCGAATTGGATTGGTCCTGCTGGGCCTGTTTGCTCCTGCCCACCTTCGGCTCTCTTGAATGCAAAGTTTCTTCCTGCTGGATAGATGGGATCCGCCGCTCGAAGAGCCCAAGCTCGCTGCCAGCATGTTTTGCAGGCCATCTCCTTTTGGTCGAGCTGCTTATCCTGAAGAGGTGCGGGGGGAGCGGGGGGAAAGGGGGGGCGCTTTTTCTGCGGGGCCCTCCCAAAAAATGCTGCGATGAGAGGCCCTCATTCGAGACCTGGACGGGCCGGCAGCTGAGCCTCCGAGGGGGCCACCGGGCCGAAGAGCCTTAGAAAGAGAGGTTGCAGCGCCTTTCAGCAAGGAAGACCGGGGCTTCCCTGAAGCTGACGATCCTGAACGACAAGGGCCGTGCCACTTCCTGAGATGCGAAGATGGAAGCACCACGAACTCCATGAGTCCACAGAGATCGGCTGGTTTGTGCGCAGACTCACCAGCGATTCCAAGCCCAAACAGCCACAATCCGACAATTCCTTTCCAAAAGCGTGATGGACCGGGCCGAGAACAGTGTGCAACTCAGGTCTGGACCATGGTAGCTGGCGGCGGTGCATCGGTTGTGTACTCGGACACCGTGGCGGCATCCCTCGCACAGCTTGCCGACACATTTTCGTGCTTGTGCAAGTGGTTTGGGATCTCAAGCTAAGACCATGGTAGAGTTGCTCCCGAGCGTACTTTCCGTGTCATTCTGTGGCTCTCCCGGGACTCGCTGAACTGGCTCGAACTGTTGTCAAAAAGCAGTCCTAAACCGACACCCCAGCACAGACCCCCCCTCCCGGCGCACAATTTGCACTTGCAATCGCCGTGCAGTCTCGACTTTACCGAAACTTAGCCAGGACTACGGCTGGGGAAAGGAACTCGCCAATTATGGCGAATACTCTGGAGCACCCACCACAGAGGCAGCGGGTTGTCCAGGAGGTCTTGTTCACGCTTCAGAGCTCCTAGATAGGCAGCATCTGCACAGCCTTTGACCACTTCTGGCGCTCCATGATCATGTTCAGCATCACCATCACCATCGTCGTCATCATAATCAATAATCGTCATCATCGTCGTCATCATCATCAGCAGCATCCTCGTCCTCATTCTCATCCATCTTTCACTGACCTGAAGAAGGAGACCTTCACGTATGCCAAGACGATCCTCTCCTTGATGTGTCGCTACAAAAACCCAGAGGGCAAGTTCCTGATCATTGGGGGAGGCCAGGGCTGGTTGGGGAGGGGGAGGGGCTTGGAGTTCCGAGACACTTCGATCTCCCCGATTGGCTTGCGACATGGACCCATGCCACTCAGTTCATGTGCTCTTTGCAAGCTGAGTGCTTTCGAGGTATCGCAAACTTCACTGACGTCGCGGCGCGGATCTCAAAGCTTTAGTGCACGCCTCTAGATAAGCTTCTGGACAGCTGGTCAGACTTCGTATTTCCACAAGGTGCAAAGTGCGGAGTCTCCCCCATGCCAAGGCCACTTTCACAGGCTTGATCAAGGCTCTTCAGATGTTTGCGGATCAGATCAAGGCCCGCACGCGTTAACGGAGTTTGTGGCAAAGAGCGAAGCGCTGAAGTGCTCGTCATTGTCCTTGAGCAGAAGCCTGCTGCTCCTTGTTGCGGCATCTGATTCGCCTGCATCTGGTTGAAGTGATGGAAGTCCCCAGGAACACAAAATCCACATCTGGTGTCGCAGAGCCGGCCCGAACTACTTGGAGGTGCTCTATATCACTCCATGCTTTCAGTACGGGCTGCTTCAAAAGAGTACCCATCCACTGCATCTTGCTTTTTATGAGGGCCTGAAGAAGCTGAAAGTCGCCAGCGACAAGCTGGGCTTGGGAGTGAAAGTCGGGGAGCCCAGGAGTTTGCAGTCTGGGAGATGCCGGACCTGTTGCAAAAAATCGTTGCATTCGCTGCTGAGCTAAGTCGGCCCCGGAATCTCAACAGGAAGCCGCGCAGAAGGATGTAGAGTTAAAGGTGCACCTGTGCCCGTGAAGCTGAAGCCCTGGCCGCCAGCCGTTGCGAGCACAAAGTCGCTCGTCTTTGGCTGTCGGATTTCCATCTGCGTGACGTTGCATATCTTGCTGTTTTAGGCCATCACAGAGGTCGACAAAGAAGTCGCAGATCAACAGGAGATGCTGAAGCATCCTTCACGCACAGCGCAGCATTGCGCCAAAACTGCGCTCACTGCTAATGTCCAGAAGCTCACCGGTTTCGGCCGATGCTGAGGAAGAAAGGAAGGGCTGTTCTTGAGATTTCATCCGAGCGCTCAGAGCACAGGCTTGCAGGCTAGCTTCGCCTGGAGATGTGTCGAAAGGTTTAATTTTTTTTAAAGATCTGGCTTGAGGTCTATGGCCCCGAGACGCACATCACCGTCACTCGGCTGCTGTCGCAGTGCTGTTTGGAGATCGCTGCTTCGCGCCGATCTCCGAGGCAGTGGTTCCAATGGCCCTGGGCCTCACCGAGGTGCTGCCCGAGCCGGCAGCCTTGGGTGCTCTGGAGGGGGGCTTTGATGCACGTTGCGAGGTTCTCCTTTGGGTGTGCTTTGCAAATCCCAGGCCGGACCTCAGCGCTGGGTCTGCACCCCCGCCTAAGCGAGAGATGATTCAGGCGAGGCCCTTCGGTTTCTGTGCAAAATGTGGACAGGAACTACTGCATCTGTAACTGAAGCTCTGAAGCAAACTGCGGCCAGGGCCCAGAAAGAAGGGGTGTGTTTTAGGTTGCTGAGTCTGTGTGTGAGGGGTTGCCTGCAACTCTTCTCTTCCGGAGCCGCTGCCTTCCCTAAACCCTAAACCCCAAACCCTAAACCCTAAACAGTAAACCCTTAAAGTTCTGAGCTCAGTGCAACCACGAGGTCAAGGCGACGAACGGGGCAAAGAAGGCGCAGAAGGCTGCTCCCCAAGGTGCTCGGTGCTGCGCTGGTGTTTTGCTGGTGCCGCTTGTGCCTTGTGCCCAGGGGCCCATGGCCATGTCAGTGTTGGCAAGTGCACAGGTGAGAGGCATACCATTGTCACTGCCACTCCGGCAACCAGGCGCCAAGACTAAGAACTGAGTCGAGCAATGCTGCTTTCGTTTCTGAGCACAGGGCCATCGTGTACGGCATGCAGAACCGAGCAGTGCAGGCCAGCGACACGGACATCAGTGCGATGAGCACCCAAACAACTGCATGTCCTCCTCGTGCAGCTGCTGCTGCTGCTGCTGCTGCTGCTGCTGCTGCTGCCGTGCTTGGTCAAGTTCAGTACGCCGCGGATGTTGCAGGGCATGCTCGACTTCGACTTCATGTGCAAGAGGAAGACGCCCTCCGTTTGTGCCATGGTCCCCCTCCGAGATTGCCAAGACCCAGGAAGCTTCAGGGGCTCTCATCTGCAAAGCTCGACTTTCTCGCAACAACAGGGGGACTTTCCGCATGAAAATTTTGGCATTATGAGGCTTGGGGCTTGGAACTGACAAAGCAATCCTGAGAGGATCCCTTGCGGTGCACGATTTTGAGCACCCGTGACTCTTTACTTGGGGCAGGTATTTCCGTTCGGTGGCAACCACTATGTGAAGTTCTACTGGGGTACGGAGGACCGACAGTGCCAGTGCTGAGAAGTTGAACAGCTGAACTATTCGAAGCTCTCCCAGGAGATCCTTGTCCCGGTCTACACCACCACCAAGGAGGCTTGCCAGAAGCACGAAGATGCAGTCACGTACCGGCCTCGGAAGGTGGCCCACAGCACGAAATGCGTAGCAGCCACGCGCTCTTCACAGCGCTTGGTGTTTCCCAGGTTCATCAACTTCGCATCCTTCCGCTCGGTCTATGAGACTACCATGGCCTTTGGCTCAGTCGGCTTCGCCGGACGAGATCTAGATGTGTCCAGCATGCCGGGCTTCTTGTGCTCAGAGCAGCTCACGTACGAACATCACTACGCATCAACGCTTCAAGTTTTGAAGAACTTGATTTTCCGGCTGGAGTGAATTTAGATTGTTTGAATTTCGCGTGTGTGGCGAATCCCGCTCGAAAGGATACAGTATTGGCTGCAGAATTCCAATTTCCATCTAGGCCATCTAAAACTGCGGAGTGTCTTGGCCATTGCCATCCATTGTCCAAGCGAAGGATCCTAGCCGACCTCCATCCCCGGCCCCCGATGCACCCGGGATTGAATCCAACTCGAGGAAGCCATGCAGTATCCGCAGATGAAGACGGCCAGCTCCCAAGAAGTGGAGTTTGCTTTGAAACGGCAAGATCTCTGCCGTTGCAGCTGTCAGGAGGGAGGTAGGTTTGTGCCGTGGCCCTTACCGAGGTCGCCATCATCGCAGAGGCAGGATTCCATGCATACAGCCTCTTTGGAGATCTGGTTCTTGGGGTGACGAGGAAGCACAGCTGCGGCGCGTGTGCAGACAAGATCAGCAGTTTGATTCGGTAAAGCTTTGGTATCGTTGCCGGCCTGTCTTCAAGCAGCACGTTTCACAGTCCTTCCAGAGAGGTGGCACAGGGCTGGGACAGTCAGAGTCCTCTTTGCAGATGCTTTCTGCGACTGGAAGTTTGTAGCCTGGCCTTTTCATCCGTTGCCGCAGCCATTCTCGCATTCACTGCTCGCCTCTCCAGGGCGTTCCAGAACAGCAGACACGCCTGCTGATCAAGGCACGAAGGGAGGGCCCTGCGGCCCGAGATTTCCCTGGTTCCTCCTCCTTTAGCAGTGGAGTTTGTAGTTTGGAAGCTTCCAGGAAGCCGAGATGCGCGAGATTGGCATGATCGGGCCGGCCACGGTAGGCGGAATCAAGCCGAGAGCCTAGAGATCTGACGTTCCCGCATCTCTTCTTTCTTGGCCCGCATTACGGCGGCATTGTGCAAAATAGCCCTTTTGTCTGAGTTTTTTGCATCACACGTCCTGATGACTGTTGACGGATCGCAGGCCCGGCTGCATCCGCATTGGCAACACAGGCTGCGCCGCTGAGAGACATGCGTGGATGTTACTCTAGGAGGCTAGGAATAGTTTCAATTCGTTTTGACCCTTTTGGCGCTGCCACGGCCAGAGATGCGCTTTCTCTTTTCTCTGTGAGGGCTCCAGGACGCAGAGATCGAGCTGAGTCACTGAGGTGGAATGTTGGACAACATCGTCATGTCGCGGCTCTACCGTCCAGGGTCTGTAGGGGCCCCGCTCGGAGAACCGGAGAGGGGGCCTTCCTTGTTCTTGGCGCTGACTGAGCCCGTTTAAGTTTGTGGTGCGTGCTGTGGGCCAGAGGTCGCCTATGTGTCAAAGAGTGGCGGAATGTCGAACGAGTTGGCCTCTCGTCTTTTCTTGAGCAGGGGGAGCCCGATGCTTGCGAAGCTTGTCGTAGAGCGCTCTTGAGAGAGACAGCTCTCCGAGATAGCACCAAAGGTGCGTTAGGAGATGGCAGAATCAGTACGGTTTTGGGATTTCGGCAGCTGTAGCAGGGTAGAAGCGAAGGCTGCTCTTCGAGCACGTAAGACGCATGTCAGACTAGCTTAACTCCAGCCAGAACAACATCATTTGCCGCAACTCCAACGGCGTCTACGAGGGTGTGGCGATTGGTGGGGACCGGTGCGCCTGGTTTTGCAAAGGCTGGAAACCGTGACTAGTGCTAGTACACTCGTGTTCCAGAGCAGCACTCAGAAGCGTTTGATGCCCTGTTCGTTTCCATGAGATTCTGCCAGGTATCCTGGCAGCCGCTTCATCGATCACCTCCTGCGCTACCAGGAGCATAATCGCGGTGTGTCCGGCCCTTTCTTGCGCCTCTCTTCAAGTGCTGATGAAGGATGCACCTGGAGCAAAGATCCTCCTGCTCCTGGGCGAGGTGGGTTCTTCGTGTATAGTAGCAGTATGTAGCAATATAGTATAGCTTTTCTGAGATCAGGTTCCGTATGGGTCGTGAACGGGTTTGCCCACGCCGGGTCCGGCGGGTGCGTAGAGGGGATTCAGTCTGGCACAGCGTGCTCCAAGACCGGGAATGTCCGCAAAAGTGGGGAGCTTCCCCGAACTTTGACTCAAGGTGGGTGGCCAGGATGAGTACGATGTGATCAAGGCAGTGAAGTCTGGGCGCATTGACAAGCCAGGCGCCTGCAGGGGGGTGAGGGTGTCTTTTGCTTTAGCAACGAGATTTGAGCGAGCCGTTTTTTCTTCCGCTTGCCACAAAGAAGCTGAACTCGGGCTTGGTACACCCGTTTACTGCAACAGTAGCAATGAATAAAGCCTCGCCAAGGTGTGTAGTCCCTGCGGCAGATCTGAAGTGCACTGCATCCCCAAGCTCAAACCATCTGACGCCCCTCTGCAGTTATCGCCTGGTGCGTTGGCACCTGTGCCTCGTGCTTTGCCACGGAGGTCCGCTGCAACAACAGGTACAAGAGTTAGTCTGGGTTAGTAAAGTGCCAGAGCCGCTTTGAGAGTCTTGCGGCGACGAACCCAAATGAGCACACCCAGAAACCATCGCCTGTGTTCTCCGAAGTCCAGCTGGGTCTCATTCCGGATCCTTGACATGCTTGTTTATTGAGTGACAGCAGTTTGAGCTTTTGGATGGAGCGGAAGCCGTCGTACCAGGTGCAGTTCGGCCACGCTGGTGCCCAGGCCAAACCTGCAAACACAGAGATGCCAAGCCAACCCCGCGATGCCAGTGCATGCCTTGACAGGCCAGGGGCGATACGGAAACGGCGATGGCAAAAAATGCAGCGATGAAGGCTGGTTTTCTGGAGCTTGTCAGACAGCGTGCGCCAGAGACGGCATGTGCGTGACAGGAAGCCGGGATCATTGTGCCAGACTCCTTCGACAAGCTACCAGAGACGATCAGCAACTTGCAGGGTGCCTAGCAACCGGCAGGCAGCGTGGGCGGTTTCTTTTGCATGACGCCCTCCAAACAAGCCCGCTATTTCTAGAACTCGAGTCGGCAATATAGCATTGAATATCTCAAGCCGCAGCGGAGTCAGGTACACGAAGATGGTCGAGGAGGGTGAGATTGTGGAGGCATACTGGGCCAGCTACTCCCTGTGACTGCATGACCTTTGCAAGCATCTCCAAACAGCGAATGCTGCAAATCACGTTGCCAGAATCGTACTCGAAGGACTTGCTCCTGTTCAGTAGTCGGAAATAGTCGGAAGAGCCATCCGGATGTGCCGCTTCCTGCCCCGACCTCTCGAACCTAGCGCTGGTCAAGTTGTTGTCGGGGGAATATGTTCTACCACAGCCTGCTACTGTGTAGTTGCATAGTGTACAGTAGTCTAGCATGGTCGCCGCCGCACATGATATGCATGGTATGCTACGGTATGAGATATTATAGTATGATCGAATCCGCGAGACACCATCTAGCTCGCTTAGAAGCTGAGTTTGCCAGGAGCCAGAAGGCGAAACGCCCCAGGACCGGGGCCTCAGATCCGATCCGACAGGATGTAGAAGCGTCAAGAGACGTGGAAAAACGTTCCGGGGGATTATATTATATAATATCATATTATAATATATTATAATATATTATATTATATATTATACTATAAATTAAACTATATTATATCTTATATATGTTCCTGAACTGTCTGTGTTGTACTTGAGCCGCCATGCAGTGAGCACAAGGACCGGAGCTGGAAGTGGAGTGCTGAGCTCTGAGGTGCCAGTGGACTACACCTGGGCCAAGAAGCTCGGGCTTGTCAGGCAGCACTTGTTTCACATATGGGGGTTTCTGAAAATAGTGGACCCGAATATAGTACCCCAAACAGGAGGGTCCTTAGTATCAGGTGAGCCACATCTTTTCCACTCAACAGACGTCCTAGAGAATCAAGTTAGCCGAGCCCCCAGTTTAATATAGGGCCCGCTATACTATATTGGGGGTTCCTTCTTATATTCATAGTATAAAAGACAGGACCTCAGCCTCGCATGCCGCATGCAGGAAGCCCGCGAACTTCATCAGCTCAATCTCTGATGATCGCGGCGAGGACGTCGGGGCGTCTTCTCGCTGCTTTGGGGTCGGCTCGAGGTCAGCAGGAAGCCACACTGCGAGGAGCTGAAGTATTGCGGTGTCAGCATCTCTGATGTATTCTCGCGCAGCATGGGCCGGCGCCCCAAGATTTCAGACTTGCTGTGGCCCCAGCTCCGTTTCCGCACGGTGGGGCGCAGCCGCAATGCCTTCTGCCGAAGTCCTGCCGCGACACCCACCGACACGAGCAGCCTGGCTGTCCCCTGTTGCAGGTGTGGGTGGCGTTTTGTCGCTCCTCTGGTTCAGAAGGCCGCGTGCCAACGCTTACTCGAGATCAGGTCCCGAGAAAAAACACCTCCGCATGAGCTTCTGGAGAATAGTCTATACCCTGTTGCCCTAACTTTGGAGGATGTCTGGGTATCCCAAGGCTTTTGCATTGCGGGTAGCTGCAAGGGTGCTGGCTTACGGTCCCTTTGCTTAACTTTCGAATCTTGACTTCGCCGAGGGCCTTCAGTCCTTGAGCGCTTTGCCAGGCAGCTGCCTGCGGAATGCTGCAAGTTCATCGTGTCTTGGCAAAAAACTTTGGCCTTCGGGCTTTGGAGACGTGGGTTGTCTATACATAAGCTATCTATCAGCACAAGCTGATGCTATGAAGCCTGCTCGTGTGACATCCTGTGACGCGGTGCCACGGGGCTTTACGTTGGACACTCCTCCCGAAGACCTCTCAGTGCTACGTCGACTCTGCAGATGCCAAGTTATTGTTTGAGAGCCTCTGAAGGAGATGATTCTCATGGTGCTGACCTCAGTCATGTGCGTGCGCGGTTCTGTGGTGATGGACTTGCCTTGCGAAGCTGGTTCTCAGTTTTGGGAAGGGTTCGCATGAACTTCGGTCATCATTGGCTTCACTTTCAGGACGCAGATTCGAGACGGTCTGAACTCTGCAGCAAACTGGAGCCTCCTTGAACATTCGATGCCTGATGCTATGGTACCCGTGGTGATTGTAGCAAAGGGCAGTCGTATTCTTTCGCACTAGTACTGCTGGTAGTGGCAGTAGCCACGTTCATGACAAGACAAACGTTACAAACGTTGAGCAGGTAGTTTACATTATTGGTAATCCTGACACAGTTAGTGTCATTCTCATGGTTGTCACTGTCAGGTCACGGCTGACCACGGCCCTGCCGTTAGCGGAGCTCACAACACCATCGTGTTCGCCCGGGCAAGTTCAACGAAGGGATGTGGCCATTTATGGGGTGTGGACAGTCAGACTCTGTGGAAACGACAAACTGCCACTGCTGCTGCTGCTGCTG